TATGGTAAGAATACCAATCAATCCTCAAGCGATAAGATAAGTAAAGAGTTTGATTAGGCTCCACATAGCCCACAAAAAATCAGATGAACTGAAATTTTGACAGCAAAATTCCCCCAAAGAGATTGAAGGCCAGGTGCATGATCTTAATAGAATCACCAAGAAGAAAAGAAAAGGCAATCATCTGAACATCAGAATATTATCATTGCTATTAAATGTAACTAATGCCTCGCATATGTCATTGCAACATCAAATATCCCGAGATTATTATAATCCGAAAATCTTTCAAAATAAAGACAAATTTTTGATAAAGAACCAAAATGAGGATTTAAAAAAGAAAGAGCAAAGGTCAAGATGTACTAGGTCTCCATTCCAGCAGCTAAAACAGTATCAAGGCCACACCTACTTCAGCGGCTCGACAGGGTTTATTTTTTCGCCTATTGCGGACTTGACAAAAGCCATTTGATTTGTTCGAATCCTCTGTGCTTGATCTAGTCCCGTTTTCATCATCATCTTCAACTGAATCAGCTTTCTCCTTCAATTGGCCGTTCTTCTTTCTTTTATTCCCATTCTGTGCCGCATTTGAACCTCTCATTTCTTTGTTCAGTACAACAGTTATCGTGTCCTCACTATCTTCATCTCCTATTTTCTGTGTTTTGTCCTCGTCTATCTCATCTTTAAGTGATTTCTGTGGCCTTCCCCTTCTCTTCTGTGCAGGAATTTTCTCTTCCTCGCCACTCCCAGGATCTTCCTGGTTAGTTACAGATAGTTTCTTCCCCTTCGCTCTACCGCGGCCCATAATCTTAAACGCCAGATAAATCACGCAAGCAATGGATATTTCTCTGAAGCAAATTATCCATAAAAAAGTTATATATGAATATCCTGAGGGTATATAAAATCAATAAGGCATTCACAACTGAAATAATCAATTTGAATCACATTAAGGAAAATTATCATATTTTAAACACTACAATACAACATTCAATAAAGAAAGGATAGTTAATGTTTGCACAAATTTTCAGCTCCAAATACATTAAACAGCCTCATAAGAATTTACATGCTCTGACATAAAGATGCCTAGTGTTGAATCACCTTCTCTAATGACTTAAGCTTTCACATGTGGTGGTTCAATATGTTATCAGATCACATACCGTCCTAGAAAACGTATATATATTAGTGGACTTTTGGTATGATAACATGAGAGGTCATGTTGAAGATAAATATGTCCCGTAGCAGCTAACGCTTTTAGATGAGGTGGTTCATCACCTATAACATCTTTTCAAAGGTCAAACCATTGGATTAATGTAAAGAACCAATTTTACTTATCCCACATAACAACACAAGACTCCTAACTTCTTCCAAAATCAGAATCCTTAACACAATTTTCAGCTCTCCATCCTAATAGGCCTAAAAACTCGTCCACATCAAAAACCAGTTGCTCTCACTTGTTATTTGTAGTTTACAACAGAGAAACGTACATGCATACACACGTATGTAGACAGAACATGAGAGTAACTGAACCTGGACTTAAGTAGTAACCCACTAAAAGTTTGACAATAAATCATTAATCTTCAACAAATTTCGGAAACAATGAAGCAGATAGAACGATTTCAAATATCAGATCCATGGAGTAATTGAACTACAAATAGCCATAAGGTTTTCGATAAATTCATTCTTCCCTTAA